GTTTCTTGCACCCATTTTGACTATCAATTTAAATATGAACATTCCTGCTCCGCTCCAAAGAGTTGCTGGTTAATGTACATGCAGTTTTCATATAGGGCTTTTCCCTCAGCAATGCTGAGTATCTGTGATTCTCATACTTTATCAGCCAGTAGGAATGGAGCCAGCACCATTTTACACTTGGCCCACAGGTTCCTGTGAGTAAAGTGTACTCATCATCTTCTACCATTGCACCCGGTAATTATCTTCAGGATAATTAGCATCTGTATCTTGGAGATCTCCATCAAGAATTTTCTTTCTATTGTGGATTATAACTATTAGGTTGGATCTCAGCTTGGTATGAACTGATATAGCACCCTTAATTAATATCTTTCCCTCTCCATCGTAGCTGGGAGGAAGCCTTAGGAATATATGTTGTTAAGGGATACTCAAGGCAGCTGTGGGCTGTAGAATTGAGTTTCCCAAAATCTGAATATACATTCCTTGTGCACTCTGAGCTATGAAAGTTATAGCTTGGTCAAAAATATGTGATCAGACCCTTGCCTTGTTTAAATAGGGGACCGTGTGTTGCATAGAATGAAGGTATCATTAAACTGCTAAATTTTGCACTGATGGAAATTCTTTTTTAAAGACAGAACAAATGATTTTCAAACCTTAAAACTTCACAGACAGTATCTATGATGCAAGAGTGCGTGGTCTGCATCCTTCCCATTTTAATCAGTATAATTATAGGGGATTACTTAGTATCATTTTAAAAAGTTCATGTATCATCATTTTGCAACCAAAATACTAGCGGCACTTCATGGATCTATGTCAGCTTGAGAACAGATGAGGTTATTATTATTATTCCTCTTTGTTTGTTGTAGCTATGGCCTGTTTCATGCTTGCTGCTGAAACATGACTACAGCCTACTGTAGCAGCAGATCTGTGTGCAACCAGGGAGCTGGCAGTGGGAACAGGGAAATCAAGTCCCCACTTCCTTTCAGCAATAAAAGCCTCAGGATAAAATGTCTGTAAAGCTGAGCGCTACTGAATGAGCCATTCCCTTCCATGAGGAGTGGAAGCAGGCTAGGATTGAAGTCTAGCTATTTATCTCTTCTTACAGCAGATTTGTGTTTGCCCTGGAAAGAGGAGAGGCTTCAGAAGCCATCAGTGTTCACAAACCACAGTGTTAGAGCTGAAGTGTTAACACCTTTCTGTGGTTCTGTGTTGTCTTTGTAAAAAGTACAGCAACATTTTTCTGCAGATAAATGTTCACTACACCCATCTCACAACTTGCAGGGAAGCTATTAGTAATAACAAGGAAGTTTCTGTACCTCATAACATTTCTCTGGATTAAAGTAAGGTATGCCAGTTCCAGAACAACAATTTTTTCAGGCACATATAATCCACTTCAGCTATTTTAGTTGATTTTCTCCTTGTAAATAAGTACCACTAGCAATAGGTAGGATGCTGATACAATCTTTTTACAATCTTTCTCACCACATACAATTTATACTCAATTGTAATTATTATTATTATTACATAGCCCAGTATAATAATTGCATATGGTATAGGAATGTGTTAGTATATGTAGGATGTTGTTACAATAATGTATTATGTAACTATGGTATATAAAGTGTATATAAAGTGTATAAATAAATAGTAAACATTAGTGGATGTATATATTATTTGATACATATGCACAAAGCAGTGATAGGTACTTTGACACAGAGTATCACAGTTTGAGGCACATATGAAAAAAACCTGGAGAAATAAGAAGTAACTATGGTAAAGATATTCTATCAATATCCAAATTGTTAATGGTAAATTATTTTTGAGGACAAGTTAGGATAAAACTAGCCAAAAAAAAAAATAGTAATCAACAATTAAGCTATATTTTCTTTTCTTTCCCCCTTAGAATGACTTTGATTTTTACTGTATTCAGCATATTCAGGAACTGTCACCAGACCACTTGTCATTCATGGAGAAATATAACAGAACTTGTATATCAGTAAATGAAACAGAACCATCTGATATTGCCAGAATAATATCAACACCTTCTATTTAATTTGGATGCAATTAATCTGGAAAGACAGCAAGGTCCCAAGAAACCAAATTTCCCTACTTTTACACAGCAGAAATAGATGCAATTTACTGGAATAGTGGCCTCATTTATGTGGGACAGACCTTCCAGTTGGAGTTTCCAAGCACCCCAACACTTTCATTTCACCAAGCTTCCTATAGGGTATATATATCTGTTTTCTGTGTTCACATGAGCTGTGAACTGCAGGTGTAGTGATACAGGGTGCACAGCCTCTGCACTGAGCAAGGTGAATTGCAGGACGTTTATGAGAAGATTGGGGTGACATATGCAGGAGGGCAAGATGAAAAAAGTCATTTGTAACAAGTCACAAACACACTGAAGATACAAGGGGCAAAGAAGGTCATCCTCAAGACACTCCTTGTCAACAATACACAGAGAGGGCAACCACAAGAACCCCAGCTCCAGCGGAGTTATTGTCCAGTTTTGAATCCATGTGGTGGCTCTCAATGGCTTAGAAGTTCCTCACTCCCTGGATTTGTTGGCTGTAATGACTGCAAGCACAGGGATGGTGGTTTTGAAAAGCTGCTCAGCTGGGGAGTGACAATACCCACCGGGATGCCTCTGCTTGGAATTGAAACTTCCTAGTGTCACCCTCAGCTGCTGACAGCTGCTGCCAGCATTAGCCAATATTTGGGCATAAATAAATGTCTTTTACTTTCTCTGCATGAAGCATTCAAACACAAAAAAGGCCAGGTAACTCCCTCGCCTATAAAGCTGCTAGGAATATATTGACATTTAACTATTGTGACTTAATCAAGATTTGTAAATACATTAGAATAAGCAAGTGATACACTCAGTGTCAATTAAAACAAGAGGATGACACAGCACTGAGCTGATACTAGCCAAAGATATTTCTTGACAATCTGAAAACCACACCTATCTACTGCTGATGCTTGGGGCACATTATTTCCATAGGCTCAAACAATTAGAGATACCCTTCTGAATGATGTTTATCTAACACTGCTTTCTTCACAGTAAAGACTGTTAATGCAGCAGTTGAGCAACTCCAGGAAGGCACAGTTATCCTGAGATAATCAGGAGCCTGAGGGCTCAGAGGCAGTCATCTGTGTTCTCTGCCCCAATTTCATCAGTATATTAAATTTAAAAAAACCCCACTATGTTAATACATCATGAAGGTCAAACGTTGCATTGCAAAGAAGGGTGTAAATTCAAAAATAGGATTCCCAGAACAATTCTAGCTAAATGTTTACATGTATATAGGTACAGTGCATTATCCCAGTTATGATGTTGTCACTGAAAACCCCTTAGACTGCAGACAAATTATTAGGAAACTGATATATCAAAACTGCGCACTCGGTTTTTTGCCTACATGTATATGTTTATGAAGTGTGTGGGTAAGCAAATAACCAAATCAATTTCACTTCAGAGATACATTTAAAAATATTCTTTGACTAATTTTGTGATTTGCTTACATATCATGCTGTTGCTTATATGGAGGGCAGAACTAAGGTACATATGTCCATCTCACAAATTCCATGTAACTACATGGGACCTGTTTTATGTGAAACTGGTACCATACCACAGGACACTGAGCATATAATATGTTTTAAATTGTCTTTTAGGGAAATTGCAGCTTCTATATAGGTTCAGCTGGCAAGCTTTTTGCCATTGATTTTCTGAAAGAAAATGGGGATAAGATTTATTAGTTGTGTTTAGGATTCCTAATTAGGGACTAGGCTGCCTTGGACATGTACTAGCAAATCTGGAACAAGCTGGAACAAGCTGACAGGCATATATGAGACAGAATGGTTCATGACTCTGTTGTGCACAGGTAGCTTATTATAAAGCATTAAAAAATGTATCTCCAGAGAGTAACTTGGACAAATAGACACTCAGCTTTTTATCACGGGTGTCATGTATGTGGCAAGGAGTCGTGACTGATTGCCCTCCCTACATCATCATCAGAGAGAGCCATCTAATCACATCTAATCATCTAATTTGGCTAGATGAGCAAAAATCCTGTGTATGGAAAATTCTGAGAATTTCTGGCCCTGTGACTTGCTGACACTCAGTGTTCTCTGTACCTTAAGTACTGAGTAGTTGTGTTCACTTTCTGGAGTCTGTGTGCCTTCATGAACAGCCTAAACCATGCACAGAATGTTTCTGGGAACATTCACAATACAATGTTACAGCTAGAACAGCGCAGATACAGGGAGAGTAGGAAATGGGCTAACTTGGAAAAGCCTGAAGCCCCTCAGAATTTCTTCTATTAATGGAAGGATTACCCCCTGAGGACTTTTCCTCCATTACTGAACGCCAGAGACAGAAAAAATAAAAATCACTTAAATGATAAAAAGCTATTTGCAAGAACTGGTTATAAAATGACTATTATCTACAAGGCACTGCTCTTTCTCTGAATCTAGTTATGTGCCAGAATTGTTAAATAACAACGTACTAATCTAAGATTGTTTTCAGGCAAAAAAAAGCTACAGTCCTCTCCTTATAACACTGAAGGAGCATAAAAAATACAGTAAGAGTAAATGCTGATCTCTGAGCAAAAATTTCAGTATTGTAGTGGATGAAAGGGAACTTAAATACCATTTTGAAGTTGATTATATCACACAACTCCACCCTAGAAAAAACTTGAAGTCTTTAAACTACTGTGTTAAAGCAAAAAGGGAGACAAGATAAAAGATAAAGAGAAGAAGGGAGAAAGGAAAACTTGCTGTTTTATAAAATAATGGGAATATGTAGAATAAAGGATAGACACAATTATAGGAGTTAGAGAAAGACAGCATGAAACGTATTACTTGAATTCATTGTGGCCTCACTGGGGTATGAAACTCATATAATTTGATGATTTTTTTTTTAAGGAAGAATGGAAAGGAAAAATGTAGAAAACATCAAAATTTAGTAAAAGCAGGGAGGAAAAATAACAGTTCAGGTGGCAACACCATTAAAACAAATTAGAAGCTTTATTTGATGTCACATCATTAAAATCATGGCCCCGTGTCTTCTTTAATTTGAATTGAATTTGGAAATGCCACATGGGGCACACAAACAGGCTGCACAACCAGCATAGCCCATGGAGTATCACCTTAGCATGTGAAACACAGCACCAGGGCAACAGGAGGATCATTTTCATGGAAGGAAATGCAACACCAGGGCTACAGCTTCCATTCTGTCCCTGTCTCTGGTAGTGATTCACAGGCCTCCTCTTCACCAGCCTTCTCTGAATGTAGAAATCCTGTCTGGAGTTCAAACTTAATGTTGCTCGACATTGAAACAGAAGATTCTGTGTAGTGCAGAGGCAATTAAAACTCTTGGGACTCCTGAATTTCTAAGAAAGGGAGAGGACAAAATTTAATTTCAAATGCATGTTTTTATTGATAAAAAGTGAATATAATAACAAAGATATCTCATGTGAATAGGATATTATGAGACCTTCAATTTGAAGTTCAACAGAACTGCATAGTACAGCAGAAGTAAAATGAAAGTATTTATAATATAGATGTATTGCACAGATCCTCTGTAAAGACTATCAGGACAGTTAAGGAACAAGAAAGGATCCCCAAGATCTTCTAAAGCAGAAAGGGGAAAATAGGTTATAGGCCTGATAAAGCACCCTGCAAGCTGAGCTGAAGTGAAGCAAACAAGTGGCAGAGCACGATGAGAGGGAGCGAGAGAGGGGAGGCAGAGTAGGGCATCACCGCACATCATCTCTGCACAGGTCTGATGCCATTATCACATATGACCTGAAAAAACATCCCAACTTTTTCAGGTCAGACTGTGAACCATGGCCTGTGCCAGATGTAACATCTGCAGATGGTTTGACTTACTCAAAAGCAACATTTTTCTGATTTTACACTGGTTATTTAGAGGATACAAAATTTCACTAAAATATTTTCTTCTAACTATAACATATACTGTTGGATTAGTGGTAAACACTTTACTATTTCAGAGGTTTGCAATTTATGGACTTTTTAAGAAAGAAGCAAAACAAATTTTTATCAGCTAAAAAAACCCACAATGCATTCATTTGGAAAAAAAAAATTAACCTACTTTTTGGCTAGCTTTAAAAGGCAAGGAATATGTTTATGCCTTGGTGTAGACTTTACCTATAGTCATTAAGACCTCACTCATGATTGTACTTTTAGCAACATGCCAGGAAAGACATGGCAGAACAAGGCCACATGTACAGAGAAAGCTAAGAGGAAAATTATTTAGCGAAGTTATGAAGTAAAATCTCCTTTCTGTGTGGTACATTTTGTTTTTCTAACCAAACTGAGTACCAAAACTAATGAACTAATAATGTAAATAATTATTTTCCCATTAATGCTTTTGGCCCATTGTGTTAATTAAGGCTTAATTCTGAAGTGGACAGAAACAAAAAAGAAGGAATGAAAAGTCACTTCTATATGTCAGTGTAAATTACTGTATTAATTGGGATATAGTTCAGCTGCTAGGAAAAGCAGGACAAAAACACTGAGTATTTTTAGTCCTGTCATTGTTAAATATATTTGTTCCTGTCTTAATATTGACATGAACCAGAAGTGAATATATATTTTAAATGCAAGTATTACTAAATGTTGCACATCCCTCAAGGGCTGAATTTAGGTCCTGGTATAAAGTTCATTAAAATCAATTTCTGCCATCTCCAGCAGTCAAAATCTGGGTATAAATGACTATGCTAAAAACATGTAGCCATGAAAAAGGGGGAAAAAAAAAACCAAACAAAGAACAAAAGAAGGGTAATTAAAATATTGTTACTGACATTCAGTTGTAATTATAAACACATTTCTACCAAGTGAAAATTCTGTACTTTCATGTTCTCATAAAGCAAAGTGAAAAGTATCCACTTCCCTTTACATGATAGCACTACCACTATGGACGAAGTACTACCTTTGATCAGGCTGCTCTATTTTGCTCCATGCATTATTCTAAAATGAGTGGTAATGGGGTGAAGAAGGACATTCTTGGGAATAGTGAGGGGTTTTAAATGAGGAAACTGTTAGTTTACAACTTTATACTGACACATTGTGATCAGTCATCATCACCATCAGTTAACTGCATTGCACCCAGCCCTTTTATGGAAGACTTTGAAGAACTATCCAGGTATCACAGCAGCTGGTGACTCAGAAAGTTGTAATCTCCTTTCCCCATCACGCACTGCTAGAAGTGTTCTCCTGGAAAAGCCAGGAAATAAAACTTCTGAAGCTTTGAAACTGTGAAAATGTGTGTGACTTTCAGGTTTTTTGAGAAATAGTCACCTATATCCTGGACAGATTTTCCTCCAGGTAAATACATTCCTTCTCTAGTTTCAAGTAGGTACATTATTCTCCATTTACACTTTCAAATCACTTATGTTGCTGTGACAATCTTGTTTCTTATCTGATGAGCTGATCATCCAAAGCAATTTGAAAGATCTTTTACACAGAGGATAAAATAAAGTAGGCTTTACCTTTTACCAAATGAATCCTTATTTTTAAGAGTTTAAATTCCAGAGCTCAGGATGGGACATTTCCTTGAATCCCTTTGCAATTCAAAGTACTGTGTTTTCACCACAGCTATATTGTGAAACAGCTATTCCTTGCTTTATCTGAAGTAACTGCAGTGATATAAAAGTAGTCTCTCAAAGACAGAAGAAAATAGATTAAAAAATTACACCCCTGTAAATAATGCTGACATTTACAATTTAAATTGCGGTAGTGTCCATTGCCTGTTCTTCTCCAGCTTAAAAAAACAAAGGCAAATTTTGCTCCTCAAAGCAGTTATCACAGGGTAGGGAAGGAGACAAATCACAGGATAAAGGGAGGACCACATTGTATGAACAAATAATAGGATTTTGGCCAAGGATAAGGAAAAGGGTTAGTTCAGTAAGAGATTTTGGCAGATAAACTGAAGAGTCATGGAGCATCACTAAGAGATAAGAAAAAGCATTAACTCAAGATAGGTCGGAGGAGGAGGAGCAGCAAAGTAACAGAATTTTCCTCAACAATGAAGTGTATGGGAAGTGAAAAAAAAAGTTGAGAAAAAAATTCTTCATATTAAGTTTCAGCCAAGCTTGTGATTAAACCAGTGTTTAAATAACTTTGATCAGCAAACAGCAATACATCAAGAAGATGCAATGAAGAGACATTAAGAAGCAGAATTGCATAATGGAAGCTGTGTCTGAAGGGAAGATGATGAACAAGTAGAACTGATAATTATCAGGTGAAAAACCTCAGGCTGAAGCTGTATCAACAGATACGAAGACACAGAGAAATTGCATTGAGTCTGGAGGGAAAGACACATCTTAAGGTTCTTTCCAGACAGACAGGTATTCCCACTCTGTGTGACTAAATCTTCTGAGTATGGAGAAATAACAAATGAAAATCATGTTGAAGGATACAGAATGAAAAAAAAAAAAAAATCTCACATACCTATGTCTCAAAAATATGTTATTTTTCTTTAGTGTTGAAGAAGTTTTCTCTTTATTGCTCTCATGATCCAGAGCACATTCTGATCTAGTAACCATTCTCTTGCTGGAACAGCCGAGTTGTAGAGCTAAGAACTGATCCCTTTCAGTCCATTCACCTTAAAAGATGAGAAATTAGCTCCCCTCAAAGCAAAGCATCCTCTTAGGATTTACCAAATGGTGTTTCTTTTCCCTTCAGGACAAATTTCTAGAAAAGCTCACAGCTAGCTGGCATGCAGCCAGCACTGTATTCCCTGGCACCACATACCCATTTAACTTTAGAGTTTGCTGGCTCAAGCCAGCTCTGCATTCTGTCCCAGGGATGGCTGTGTTACAGCAGCAATGAAACTGCAATACACGTAGTGCCACATTCTTCACTCCAACACCAATGCAGTCCCAGTGAAAACAATGCAGGCAAAGTTAGGAAAATTACATGGAGGTGACCAAAAGCTGCCCTGCCAAGCTTTTATTAAAGAATCATTTAAAAAATATTACTTTGTTTTCACCCAATAATCATCAACCTCCACCTTACTCCCCCAGTAATTCCACTGAACTTTAACAAGATTTCTCAGTATTTTCCTCCTCATCTTCCATCAGAGGGGATCTACTATGTTCTCTTGTTCACCACAACAGCCATGACATTATCATATGGCTCACTGTGTTAGTGATGACCAGACTGGACTACCTTAGCTAAGCACTGGTCATTGAAATTAAAGGGCTTTGAAGTACATGCAGGCAATTGGTAAATTGGGAGACACAGAATACAGCACAAAGGACAAGTGCTACAGTGCTTTAGAAAAATCTATTTGATGTTAAGATTTATGTGCATAAGCAGGTCTCTAGTGCTTTTTGTTCAGTAAACAGTTTGACCTTCTTCTAAAAATTCCAGATCAGTGCTGGGCACAGGCAGGCCCACTAAAGCATGTGTCTGTGTTGTTCCTATTCAACACAACAACGCTGCAGCCATATCCCCCTCATTTCACCCAGATTCCTGGTTCTCTGCGGAGTTGCTCTATCATAGTGAAATGTCAGCACTTGTTCAGCTGCTTGAGTGACCGTCAGTGATTAGGCACGTAGGAAACTGAGCAAGCTGAGGAGAACAAGCACTGTGAAGTACTGGGTGAGTATGCTTAACAAGCACACCGATTGCTATTTGCCTGTCACACCAACATGAGTAAAGCTGGTTTAAGAATTGTGCTGAAGATTAGCTAAATGATTCATAGGAAAATCCAAAACTAAAGGCCCAATTTACATCCAAACTATGTGGCTGAGACAGTTGGGTAGAGGGAACATTCGGTCTCTTGCTTAGAATGAATCTTAATTGCCTATTTCTTCTGGTTATAGTGATCAATCTCCAAACATGTCTTTATTAAGCAAACCGTATGTTTATATAAGTGTATATACACTTCTTGTAAAATACTAAGTTCCAGATACCCCTATATGAAACTCAAAACACCAGGATCTGCTCACAGAGATTTACTCAAGACACCCAAAGGTCACTTTCTTCTTTTCCTATTGTATGGCGAAGAACAGGATTTGCCCCAGAGCCTATAAAACACAGAACAATGAAAGGCACACCATAAAATACTATTACATTAATGACATATTCCTGGAATGCTGCAAATTGTTTGTGATTAACCTAGTTCACTGAATAAAGTTGTGAAGGCTGAGGATATACATCTTTGTTCTTTTCCTCTGAATATTTCTGGGCGCTGATAATATCTAGTGACAGAAAAAAATAAGAACACAAGTACTTTTCTGTCTGGTGAGCTAATATGCTACACAGCTAATAACTGCATGAAATGCTTTTCTGATTTTCACTTGAAAGGATGTATTTCACCTATTCGTCTCATTAATGATTTTTGTCCTGCATAGGATGCCTTGCTGAGAAACTTGATTTCTCACAACCAGAGCTCTCTTGCATTATCCATCATTTACAGGGACTCATTATCATTTACACAAGGGTTTAAGCTGTAAAACACCAAGAGATTGGACTTGGAAGAGATTTTATGATGTTCAGGATTTGGGAGCAAGTGTAAAAGAAAAATGTTTTTTTAAAGTGCATCACCTTCTGGATACCCTGTATCTCGATGAAGTGTTCCCTACCAAGGACAGTTCGTTTCACTGGTCATCCTTTGACCCTGCTCTGAGCTTTAGCATCTTCCCACAGATTCTGAAGTCATATGGTCTGCCTTTTCTATCTCTGTCCTACAAACAGAAAAGCCTCTGCTTCCTCCACACCCACTCTCCTTGCCAGAAGCCTCACTGCAACTTCCTGTCAGTTTTATACACTCTTGTGTAAGTGTGGAAGTGCCGTGGACTTCCTCACAGCACAAGTTTTCATCCTAAAGCACCACGTTAACTATTTGCTTACTAAGTGTTTCCTAGAAACATAAACGCTCATTTATTTTTAATCTTTATCAGCTAAACCCTTTGTAACTGGAAAATATGAGTAACATTCAGAGGGTGGGAAAAAAACTGATTTACACATTTTAGGACGAAAGTAACAGAAAAGCTAGCACCGTACTTATTTGCAGGCATTGGGAAGCCTGCTTTGTACGGGCAAGACCAATGACAGACCGTTCGCATCCAAAGGCATAGCGATCCACGTAGCACCCGCAGCATGCGGCATCTCTGGAACACCCTTCACCGCCGGATCTCAACATCCTTTGAGAAATGCAAGAAATACCGCACCGGCATTTACTTTTCCAGCTCTTTACCTTCTTAATTAACTTTAGGCAACCATAACGTGCCTTTGGCGCACCTTCGAGCCGCAGCCCGCACCTGGAGCGCACCGGAGCTCGGGCAGAGGGGCGGCGTTACCCCGAGAAG